TTCCCTTCTAAGCTACTTTTTGCTTTTGCTTTTGCTTGTGTCACTTCTCTTTTTCTTTTATGTGTGCCCTTGTTGCTATGACAAATTTCCACCCCGATAAATCTTTTCGGCTTCAAGAAAGACAAAATATAAGTCTCTTTTCGCTGGAAAAACTTTACCTTATAAAAAAAGTTTGTTTCAGCTGGAAAATAAATAGAAAAGTGGATCTCGGTTGTAAGGAGCACATCTGGTTTGGAGTCTCGTGATCCTTTGTTTGTTTTGGATCGTGATTATTAATTTGGCTTGTCAGATTTTGTTTTGAAACTTCTGGACAATGCAAGATATTCAACAATATCCAGGTACAGGATTATACTGTACACTATGGGATAGGGCAGTGGAAAAATTACAATGTATGAATTTGTATGTGAAAGCATGTGGAAGAATTTAGAAATTCTTATATATGCATGCGATGATGAGATCTCCCATCGTATTGGTGCGGGGTAGATGAAATGGAGGCCCGCATCCGGTATTTTGTGTGATATGAAGGTGCCACCAAGACTTAAGGGTAAGTTCTACAGAGTGGTAGTTAGACCTACTATGTTGTATGGGGCTGAGTGTTGGCCAGTCAAGAACTCCCATGTTCAGAGGATGAAAATAGCAGAAATGAGGATGTTGAGATGAATGTGTGGGCATATCCGGAGAGATAAGATTAGGAACGAAGTTATTCGGGACAAAAGGGGAGTGGCCCCGTGGAGGACAAGATCCGGGTAGTTGAGGCTGAGATGATTCAGGCACGTGCAGAGGAGTACAGATGCTCCCGTTAGGAGGTGTGAGAGGCGGGCCATGGTGGGGCTGAGAAGGGGTAAAGGTAGGCCGAAGAAGTATTGGAGAGAGGTGATTAGGCAGGACATGACGCTACTTCAGCTCACTGAGGACATGACCCAGGATAGAAGGGTATGGAGGTCGAGGTTTAGGGTAGAAGGTTAGTAGGTAGTCGAGAGTTCCCCGTTCTTTTCTAGTAATATTGGTAGCGCTCTTGTTTTTTTTCGTATTCTTTGACCTCTAGTATTTGCATATTGTTTCGTCCGCTCTGCATTTCGTATTTTCCAGTGTGTTACTATTTGATGCTACTTTTCTTTTACTTGTTTTTATTGTTGTTGTTGTTGTTGTTATCTTTTTTTTTTCCTTTTCCTTATCTTCCTTCGTCCATCTATTCTTTTTCAGACCCCACTTGTGGAATTATACTTGATTTGTTGTTGTTGTTGGTTTGTATGGTAGATGAGGGAGATGTAACTTTTTACATAGATTCAAAATCTTTGATAAACTCACTAATTCTATTAATGTTGTAAACAAGGATAAATAGCAGAATTCTGATGCTTTTAGTCTAGTTTCTTTTGGTTTCTCTCTGTAATGGGGTAGTGTGATAGCTGATTTGTTGTGTGATTTGTAAAGGTTCTATACGAAATTTGTTTTTGCACAATAGGATCTTTTATCCTGTTGATCGTTCTAGATCTGAGATCTTGATTGGCTATTCTCGGAAGTTGCATAAACATTCAAATCCTATAAATCTTAGTTATTTTGACCTGGATTGGCTATTCTTGGAAGTTGCATATTATGGTGTTTTCCGAAACCCATATCTCGTTAAGAATTGGTTATCACTTGTTTGAGTGAACTCATTCCTTACTTTTATGTCTACAGATGCAAGTGTTGATTCCGATCCGCAGACTTGAGCCAGGGTACTTTAGTGATGAGCCGCACATTTCCTTCCATGAGTAATGCTGGTTCCACTTCTTCTTTCTCTATTGTTATGTTTCAGTTTGACAGTTATTGAAAACTCTTTGTTGTATTGCTCCATGAACCTTATGTGTGGTTGTAATTTTGTAATGAGTTGGACTGTGTTACTCTTCCCAAAAAATAAATAAATAAATTGTGTTATATATTTGTACAACACAGTTATATATATATTGCTAGTCTACCGCTTATTCCATGTGAAATGAATGGCTGTGACACTTGGGATTATTAAGTGTTGTAGTCTGGATGATATGAGACAGGTACAAAAATGATATTAGTTTCAGAGGAAATTTTGCCGAAATTTTCGAAGACTCAGAGGATTGCTATAATGGGTGAAAACTAGTTTTTTTTTAAAGTTCTTTGTATATTTAAAAAAAAAAAAAGGAAAAATGCATGAGTAATTCCCTGACCTATAGTCGTATTTTCAACTACACACTTAAATTTTGTGGGGGTCCTATTACCCCCCTTAACTATTTTAAAATGAAATAAATTTACCCTTAAAATGTCACAACCACATCTATGTTGTGTGTTGGAGTACACACGCATCAATGCTTTATACCACTCAAATTAATTTTTATTTTATTTTTTTCAATCTTCTCCTTTCTTTCTTTGTTCTTTCTCTCGCGCCTCCATTATCAACAATCCTAAAAATCACCATTATCATACCTGTTTCACCAGATACCATAGCTTTACCACCTCCAAAAGAAAATTTTGACTTCTGCCATTTCTATACATATCATCGCATTTGCCACCTTCATTTTTTCCCTCTAATAACCATAAAACTTTATTACATTAATACAAACATGATTCCAACTATGGCGATCAATTAGAGTACAACATAAACGAAAGGTAGATCTTTTAATCTTAGAGAACTTTTCAAAGGATAGTACCAAAAAAAAACTAGAATCGTCGCCGATGGTTTTGATACTCTCAAGGCTAGGAGTTGTCAAAAAGGGATGTTGTTGGGTCTTTATTGTTACTGCAAAAGGGGATGTACGTGTAAAAATGAAAGTGGAATAATTCTGAAAATTGGGTTTGGAGAAGAGGTGAAATTGGTGAATTAAAGATGAAGATTGAGCCCCTTAACACAAAATATAATTCTGGAAATTGGGTTTGGAGTAAATCGTATAAGTTGTTCCACTTCTCAAGAAACCCCCAATTCAAAATTTGTGTAATTTTACCGTCCCAATCGAGAGAACCAATGGTGCGCAGACCTTGGGTGAACTTGCAGCAAGCTTTAATGGACTTTGATAATCTCCGAGCAACATGACCAATTAAAGAAAAAGGCTGGATTTCACAACAAATAGAAATAAATTAAAGGAATATTGTTTTAAGTTATAATGATAATTAATTATATAACCTTTAATTATCTTCCTTTTATTATAAATTATAAAATATAACTAAAGTTAAAGTATCCAATTGTAAAATAACACATGAAAGACATTAGTAAATTTTTAAGGTAGTTTTATGCTCTCATACGCTTCCAAGAAAGTGAACACACTTTCTGCGCCGCATCATCTCTCAAGGGAATATTTATTCCACTTTAAAATAGTTCGAGGAGGTAAGTGTGTAGTTAAAAATACGGCAATAGATTAGGAGATACTTATGCATTTTCTCAAATACAAATTTGATATTCCTATATCATGTACATAAATACACAATAAAAATTACACTATTTTGGTATGTAAAGTTAAAAAGTTCCATTAGATGACGCATCAGGAGAATGCTAACCCATGTAAAACGTAAACAGTTCCTCAACAACAACTTAGCTGCTTCTGATCAGAGGGAAACTTATGATGAGCATCAGGGGCGGAGCTAGCTTTTCAATTGCGGGTTCGACTGAACTCAGTAGCTTAGTTTAAATTCTATATTTGTCTTAAGAAATTTATTAAATTATATACAAATTATTTAATTAGAATCCAATAGCTTAAAAAACTATAATTTCGAACCCATAAATTTTAAATCCTGACTCCACCTCTAATGAGCATCTACAAAAAAAACTTATGGTGGTAGGTCATGAGCTCAATTAATGTATCTAAAAAAACATTTTGACAAACTATTGGGTCGTTTGGTTGGGAATTAATGTAAAAATAGCACGGTCTAGCCAGTTTTCGGACTAGTCATTCAAAAATAGCCAGTATTTACCAAGTCAATGAAAAATAGCCACTATTTTGCTGCAACAGAGACCGATCCAGCATAATATACTGGAGTTCGGTGCACCTGTGTATGAACTTCCAGCATATTATGCTGGACCGGTATACTTTGCTGGCTCCAGTATAATATACCGGTCCAACATAATATATTGGAGTTTGGAGCACCGGTGCTCCAAACTCCAATATATTATGTTGGACCGGTATATTATACTGGAACTCCAGTATATTATGCTGGATTATTTTTCCGGATTTTAAACAGTGTTTTCGTTCAGATTTATCTTTACATGAAAAGTGGCTAAATTTCAATTACTTTTAAAATTGGGCTATTTTTGAACGACCATTTCTAAATCTGGCTATTTTAACAACATCGCAATATAACAATCATTCACTATAAAAGCTAAGTTTCTTTTGGAACCAATTTCCATGCTATATTGTAATATATATTCTCTATAACAACACTTCCCTATAACAATAAAAAAAAAGTTTTTACAAACAAAGCTTTTTTAGAGGGGTTTGATTATACTATGATTTTGTCCCAATCAAACATGAGATAAACTGTTTCCAAATAGAAACTCGGCATCCTTCTCACCAAGGACTTCCCACCTTGCTCTTGGGGAGACTCGAACTCACAACCTCTTGGTTGGAAGTGGAGGTTGCTTACCATCAGAGCAACCCCTCTTGTCTTTGTTAACTCAAAACAGATACGGTTTATTCTTAAAAGTCGATTTCCATGTCTAACTTTCTTCAAATTTGGTATAATTGATATAATATAACTGGGAAAATGCATAAGTACCCCCCTAACTTATACCCGGATTCTTAACTACACACTTTTTCTTTGCGGGAATCTTATTACCCCCAAGCTTATTTTAAATGTAATTATTTACATCCTTAACGCTGACAATCAAACTCTTGGCAAGTGGTGAGCTACATGTGCCCTCACATGTATTTTTCGTACTTTTTTTTATTCTTTCTTTTTTTCTTATCCTTTTTTCTTATTTCTTATTATTCACATTTTTTTTTGTTATTTCATTCTCTTTCTTTTTGTTTTGGTCACCGGCGACATAAAATGGTGGTCGTCGGAATTTCACAAACATCATTTTTTCTGGCGAATTATTTTTTCCGACGATAAATTTTTATTCCGATCTAAGTGTGTTTTGTTATATATATATATAAGCTGAGAAAACTTTTTTCAGTTAAAATTTCAATATATTATTTTTTTTTCGGCGTGGGAAGGTTTTCCGATGATGAATTTCCCCCCCAAATCTGAGTGTATTTTTCTTTGCATATGAATAGATCTTTTTAGGAGTTTAATTTGCGTGTGAAAAATGGAAGAAAAACGGTTAAACAAAGTCGCCACTGAATGAATATCCACCGGAACTAGAGAAGAAACGGAAAAAAAGTAAAAGAAAAAAGACAAAGAAAAAGGAAAAGGAAAAAAAGTAAGAAAAAATGGTAAAAAAGAATTAAAAGATAATCTGAAAATTATTTTTTCTTGCTTCTCGCTCTCCTTTGGGAGAGTGAAACACATACACTCTGCCGCGTCAGCGTTAAGGGTGCAAATAATTACATTTAAAATAAGTTTAGGGGGGTAATATGATTCCCGCAAAGAAAAAGTATGTAGTTGAAATTCCGGATATATGTCAAGGGGTACTTATGCATTTTCCCAAATATAACCAAAAGTAAAAAAATTCCTCAATAGAAATGTATTGACGTTTTCTATTATCAATTTGTACAATAAATGATTTCGTGATCATCTCAAAGCACACCTTGTTACGACTATAGCAATATTTCAGATTCTAATCCAGCTCATACTTTTTTCTGGATGTTCGATGTCCGATATTAGCATTAGGGTCACGATTAATTCAATTTGATTGTATACGATCCATGACAAATGAACTTAATATTATAATACGCTCGTTTGCGCACTGTTCATATGACTCTACGTCGACGCCCAAGTCTAGTCATGTCTTTGAAAAAAATGACCTATGGGAAAATGGAAAAGGAAAAAAAAGAATAAAAAATAATATAAAAATTATTTTTTCTTGCCTCTCACTCTCCCATCACTCTCCTTTGGAAGAGTGANAATAGGATTCCCGCAAAGAAAAAGCGTGTAATTGGGAATCTGGGTATAGGTCAGGGGGGTACTTATGCATTTTTCCTAAAAAAAAAAAGCAGCCAGGTGGAAAAAGCATCTCGCGTTTATACGGGGTCCTAGGAGGAAGGGGGGAGGGAAGGGTCACACCCCAACGGGTATGATGTAGACAATCTATCCTGATGCAAATATTAATGACTGCTTCTATGGCACGAACCCGTAACAGCTCAATATTATGTGACTATTTAAATAGTAATTGTATGACATGAAGTCGGAGATATAGTAATAAACATCTCGATTTTCATGTCCTATAAATTTGGGTCTTTCTCCACCAATATTTTCACCTAGCAATTCACTTTCTTCACCAATATTGATCACCTAGGGTTATTTGGGGGTGATTTATTTTTCTTTCTTGGTTAATTACTCAACTTCTATCATGGAAAAATTAACCATCTCCACCAAATCACAAACTCTTCTTCTCCTTTTCTTCTTTGCTTTACTCTTGAACTCTCCATGCATAATCTCAGCTGCTCGTCCTCTCGATTTCCGGCTCAAAATTTGTTGTCATCAAACGAAAAATCCACAATAATAACTACTCTTCAGTCCCAAACGAATGAAAGATCCACAACGATCGTTAATTCCAAAAAATTAGCAATCACCAATAACGAGAGCGAACAACAATATATGGTGGCTGCTCATGTTGTTCCTGTCACACCTCCCTTTTACACACCCGAAGGTAGTACAAAGAAGTTTTTCCACTTTAAGTGATATTATTCGAAATGAGATTATTTATTTATTTTTTATTCAAAGTTGCCACTTGGGATGGTTTGTTTTCTGGTGTCCCAAGTCACCGGTTTATTCTAAAATCCCAAATCGAGAAAACTTCGACTTTCCTTTTGAAGTTTGCGAACCAGAAATTCTGAATA